GTTCATAAAGGTGCGCAAACTTGGTGGGGTAGCCAACTCGCTTGCCTGGCCAACTCGCTTATCCAGCACGTTATTGAAAATGATGGTCAAAACATATGAAAATTGAGAGACAAGAACATAGGTAGTGAAATATCAAGAAGCACGTTTGAAGCTAATCACGCCCCCCTCTAGTTGAGCTGGGTATACCCTAGGATTAATAGTCAGCGCGGAATTATGGCTTGAGCTACACATTAAGAGACATATCTCAAATGGTAGCACATAGCATGCTTGTGAAATGTTTCTGCTTTCATGCCGATTATCAAAATTGTAAAACAACAGTGGTAGTGTATTGAGTACCTTTGTTACACCAGAAAGGGCAGGTAAAACTTCGGTGTACACCATCATCCACTCCTGGATCCTGATTGCATCCAAAAGAGAGTTACAGTGCACTCATCTAGCCAGTTGCTGTCTTAATACTAAGAAGGTATGAAGTATAGATCTCCCCAATGCTTTGGCAACAGCTAGCAGCTGGGACTTACCGCGGTTGATGCAGTTTATTTCGAGACACGCGATGCTGGAAACATAGAAAACAAATCTATCTGGAGACTGTGGAAGCAAGAATGTATCCTAGAAACGATCACAGGACTGAATACCCTGGAAGCGTTCTCTGACTCAGGTACCTTGGCGATATGAACATGCCGCACGGCACACGCGCAAAGTGCGGCTAGACCCGACCTATACTCAAGATCGTCCAACGGTCGCTTAGAGCTATCCGATACCGGTCATGCAGGGCATAATCAAGCGGAAGATCCTTTGGCAGGCTGTCAATGCGCGGAGTACTGAGGTTCGAGCCAATCACAGGGTAGTAAAGCTAGTACTTTTGGGCACATTTGGAGCCGATTCAAGTGAGGACTGCGCTGGGCGCATAGAATAACGTGGTCTGACGATGCAAACATGCGGAGGATGCAGAAAGGGGGAAGTCGTTACCTTCTCAAATGCGATTGAGACTAACCTGTGTGACGACAGATTGCGATACGCAGGCATAATCTCTTGATGTCAGATCCACAGAGCGTTCTACTCCCGCCTATTGAAGACAGTAATGATTAAAAGGTATGTTTTCGTAGGAGCAAGTGCCGATCTTTGCTCAATTGTTTGCAATCCGAAAAGTGGTTTTATGCGAGGTACTTCCCAGTCATGTTACACCCACTACGTGGTATTGATATGCGTTGCATAATAAGTCTGTAGTCTGGACTCAGGGAGACGAGTGCAGCAGCGAAATCTTGACCTGGAGATTTCATGAAAGAACTTAGTGCGCACTTCTCAGCCTTGATTAGTTGTGGGGTTGGTGTTCTGGAGGAACATAAAAATCACAGCGTGGGACTAGATTTTGCAATGGAGCAAGTATTACGGAAAATTTGGTGTTTCGCTTCGCTCTTGCAGCGAGCCAGTATCATCATCCAGATTTTTCTCGGCATCATGCGCATCCCGGCCTGTTCCTGTGGGCCAACGGGGCTAGAATCTGGGGGCTTTCTTATCACAATGGGATCATGGTCGGTGTTCAAGCCGCTTTGAACAGTCGCTTAACCTGACATCCAAGCCTTGAGAAGAAGACAAAGGCTAAGAATGGATAATCTTGGCCAAATGCTACGGGTAAACATGCATCTATGGTTGCTCTCCGATGTTAAAACATGGAATCTTAATAATATATGCAAGCATAAGTGGAGGGCACTCAAGAAACTGTAGATGATCATGCCTCGGATGATGAATATGACTCGACATCAATTCAAAGGATCGGTAACGGAGACGTACGGGGAAAATGTATATATACACGTAGACAGCAAGCTGAAAACAGGTTTCTTTTTACTCACCACTCGTCTGTGCTAATCATCCAAGCCAATAAGTAACCTCACTTACTTTCAAACGACATTACCAATCGTCATGAAAGCCTTCTTCGTTACTCTTGTTGCTCTACCTGCCGTTCTGGCTGCCACTCTGCCCTCCTCCCAGGCATCGTACGAAACATCCCTTAAACTCTATCAATTTTCTTTCAAAAACTAGCTAACAAAGCTAAAACAGAGAGTTCCCTATCCAGAGCCAAGAGTGTACCTGTCAGAATGCCGCTGGGGCAACCAGGGCTTCTGGACTCTGCCAGCTTATGAGAGGCTCACTCCGTGGCCCAGGCGAGTGGGTAAGTCTAAGTTTTCTGCTTGTCTATCATCATACCTTTTTCCTCTCTCTCTTTTCTACATGGACCCATATGATCATAGTACCTGTTCTAATCAAGAGTCTGTTTAGTGCTTCACAGGTACCTCAAGCACCCCTGCCATGAACACGATCTTCAACAACGAGAAGTGCGCGCAGCCGTGGGGTTCTGAGTGGAGCAAGGGTGTTTGCAGGTCTGTCTCGCTCTGCCAGGGCGCAGGTGGCCCCAGCTACTACAAGATTTGCTAAGAGAAACGACCGGATATGAGCGATTGGGTGTATAATCTGGGGTGTAAATAGTTATACTATCTAGTATTTCTCAATGTATATGAATACTCCGTGGCTAGTCATATCTTGGATGTTGAATGACGTTTGGTATTGTAGTAAGCCTTACTGTAGTGAGCCTAGCCTATGGACACACAGTCTGTCTATCAAGCTGCTCCTCATACAAGGGGCAAAGGTCCAGTAGAAAGATTGCCAGAAGGACTTTTGTTGGGAGGTATTTTTCTGCGCCGATACCTGTTAGAGATATATCTCAAAATGCATAAGTATTGATAGAGATTAGATGCATCAAACTCATTGACATGGATGCTTTACGAATTCAGTACTATATCAATATGTGGAAGAAATCGCCAGACAGAACGATGCAGTACCATAATGCCTCCTCCGGTATACCTGATTCCCATTGGTAATCTCGGGCACAAACTTCCAGCTATATCATGCGGTTGACGCTTGCTGTGAAAATTCCCCAACTCGAGTTCTGTTCTATCATATGCTCTGCATAGTTCTCTAAGGACTACAAACAATCTAGTAAATTTAAGTTAAAGTTACATGATCCATAAATGGAGTAATCTGGCAGAGGCTGGTTAAGAACAATAATATCCTCTAGCTCCTTTATTCAGCACTGTCAACAAGGCTGTTACAATGGCGGGACCGCATGATGACATTCCTTTGAACAGGATCTCGTGGCCTCGACACGTAATACTACGCTCTATGTTTCGATCGGTCAGATACTAAAAAGTGTTCGCTACCAGCCTTTGAGGCTGCAATGACCAAAGACCAATTAGGAGACAGAGCTGGACTCAGCCGCGCTTTCCGCCATGCATAGACACCAAGCTGGTAATTTGGGTTCGCACAATCGCAATCGCATTTGTCATAAGACAATGCAATCAGTTTTCTAGATAACAAGTCCGCAATTTCTATGATAGGTACGCGGAGTGTGTCATCCGCCGAACCCTGCATGCCGCCCGGTGTCTCCGTCTCTGTCGATTCCCACAAACGGCCATTTTCCATCTCACCAATCGGCCTTGGGAATCTAGCTAACTTGAATTTTGGTTCAAGCGGGGGTGCAGAAAGTCTTGGTAGATTGAAGACGAATGAGCTGGGCGATAAATACCAAGGCCTTTTCACATGCTTCTTTCATGCGCATAAGCCGCAAAACTAGATCCAACTCGCGATTGTGACTCCTCTTTTTCTCTAGCGCAGAGTGCTTACATGGCTGAACCGGTCAGACTCTTCAGTTCAGATAGCCGCCCGCTAGTGAAGTGCCCAGTCCTTGATATTGGAAACTGGTACACCGTAGAGGGCTGCCAACCGGTCAAGAGATGGTGATTGCAAAACGATGACGTTTGTCATGTATACGGTACATTCATTGACAAGGGTGTGATTGGAGAGATGAATGCGGCTTACAGTACACCCCGGCCTACTCACTTCAGACCTGCCGTAAACGCTCCAAGGCTCGGATCTGTCCGTTATCACCAACGTTCTTGTACCACAAAGCTACCAAGCTTTGCGACTGCCAAAAGCCCTTGGGTGATTCCATCAAACGTTATGCATAGAAAATGCATGGGCACCCCCGCTTTTGTAGCTGTCAAATCCGAGCGTTCGGTTCTTGAGCCTCCTGCCTGCATGACATGTCTCGGTCTTGCTACAGCCTTGCATGTCAATCACTAAGGGCCGCAGTAGCTGTTAGCGTGTACGGAATCACCGAAGCATGGTGTCAATGTGCCAAAGTCGTTCTCAACCAGTTAACTCCTTCATCACACGATTTAGATAATGCCGGCTTAACGGCTGTAATCAATGCTGACCCCCATCCCATTTGTCTTGCATCAGAGAAGCGGTTAAACCCATCAGTTATTGACCGCACCTCATGAACATTAAGCGGAGATTCAGTTGTTGGGAATATCTCTTAGTTTACCGAGAATAATACGTGCAGTATGTTTTGATGATGAGTAGCGAATCAGCTAACTTGCGATGGTGACGTACTGGGCTTGCGTAGTTGGGAATTGAATGCCTTCGCCGGCGCCAGGATTGCCACTCGGAGTTGGCCGTCTAGTAAGGCCCGTACCCGGCGGATTTATAGCTTTAGCGTAGCATCATCGCATCGCTGTTTGTGCCAGCGTGTCTTGCCATGCAGCTTCAAGGCGACCAAGGAGGCTAGGGGGGTCTGGCCCGAAGGTTTGGTTACGAGTAACGGCGAGTCCGAGTCTCTGTACTTTTTCTTTATCTTGATTCTTTGCAACAATGTCGGCGACGATGCGTATTGGTACATGTTGATACGGACACTGCGGCTATGCATGCGAATCATGGTCTTTTGGCGCACTGTGTAGACTCTACTTAGTATTTAGATCCTTGTGCTTGATCGTTCTTTCGGGGGATGTCAAAGAAAAATGCAATATTGTAATCCCATTCATTCTCAGAGACATATCTTCTGGGTCAGCGACTAGACCCTGGCCATCGCCTTACTCTTTTTGTCGGTTCTTCTTACCTTACACTTGACCACTACCGCATGTTCGCACCCAGTACCAGTATCACAATACAAAGTCTGCAGATATCATGCCCACCAGCAGTGAGGAGTCGGACTTGAGGTGGGACAGAGTTGAGGCACGTGAAGCTCACTATCGCCAAAGTAGTCAGGGGAACCCCCAGCCACCGAATGCAAAAAAACGCATCGACTCGATTGAGCTTGGCTTGATGGGTACTCACTTCGAGGTCGTTTCCGAGGATGAATCATTCCCTGCGAGAATTGATGATTTCACCGACAATGAAGCTGCAGGTCCTAGTTGCGGCGCTGAACTGAAAGTCCGCCGGGATTCCATTTACGATCAACCCGACTCGGATAGCAATGTCGCAAAAAAACCGATTGCGGAAACTGGGTTTACTCCTAAGTGGGGTCCATACCTTCCGCTGTCCGAGATGATAGAGACTCGACGGCAGTTGTTGAGTAGCAGTAAGTCTGCCGAAAAACTTTCAAGGGTGACGAATCAGGCCTTATAGCGCCTCGGTGTATTATCTAGGTACTAGTCAGAGTCAAGCCTCGCTGACTGCTCCACAGAAAAGCGACCACCGTCTCTGTCGACCACTATCGATCCCGGCGTACACGAGGAACAGAGTCCGACTCCTGAGCATGAAATCCACATACCTTTGGTGACTAACCCCACACCATCCAACCGCTCCATGTGTACAACACGTGAAGGGAGCTGCAAGGGAGAGAAGGAGTTTTTGCCCCCGTACTCGTGGTCGTATTACGACATCAAGCTTGGAAGGCTGAATGGGAAAGAAGCAAAATGAACACAGCTGCTACTCACTTCTTTGTGGGTACCAAGTTCGGTTGGTCTATTTAACTTGGCATGTAGGTGTAAAGTGGTAGGCGTGTACATCTTTGCCGTTTTTTGGGCCGCGGAAGAATCGACAGCGTCTATTAGAGTCTGCTAGTTGTCTCATTCTATATTTCTTTGCGTACGAAGACCTGTATGCAACCAAACAACCCTTCCTAGTTGCTTTTTTTGTATGGAAATCGTGTATCATTACTGAGTCCAATTTGTCAATCCGCTAGTATCTCTTTGAAATTTCCCCTCTTTGCTAATTTCCTTATTTTTTCCCTGCATCGGAGGCTGCTGCTCGTTTGATATCGATCGTCCTCAATAGAAGCAGGCGTACAAGCTTGAGACCTTCTTTTTCGATCGCCGTTGTGAACTGCCCTTCGCTCATGCTGTGGGCAAAAGAAATAGCTAGGTGGGCTTCCGTTGTAGGGGCTTGGGTGTCATGTGTTATACAGCCACTGATGTTTGCGGGGGGACCCTCCTCGGGCGCGAAATGCGGGGCCGTGGACTAGTGTTGAAACGACTTCTTCTACCACATGACACCAACTTAAGCCCCGATGAAAAAGGAAAGTATACTATTCCACCTCATCTGACCAGGCCATGATGGGAAAGTCAAATCGCATGGAAAATGCTTTTCTTTCCTGCAGTGGATATGTGGAGAAAGCAAAGGTTATAAACGCAAGCGTGGAAAAAGGACATCTTACGCGCGCAATAAATGCATGATCTACAGGGCAATACCCTCTTCGATGTCTTGCCGATTATGTGGGCCCAACAGGTTGCTTGAGCGGAACAGTTCGCCGAAGGGATGGCATGAGGTACGGCATTCGCGCTGATGACGGCTTCATTTCGGCAATACGGTACACATCGCACACCGATCAGGACCTCATGCTACAAATCCTGTGCAGGGACTTGTCCACAATATGCAGACTGCTGGATCGGGATTGAGTAAGTATGCGGCAGGATTTTCGGAATCGGCACACAGTTTGGGTGGCAGAAACAATTTTTTCAGAAATACAATCTTATGACACGTGTTCGGTGAGCGTAAGCCAAAGTCTATTGAATCATGTACAATCTAATGATCATATGCCATCGCATTCATGTCGGTCTCTCCGCTCAAACAAAATAGTCTCTTGAAGTAACCGTCGTCGTAACATGAATGTCCTTCGGCTCTCTTGTCCTTGAAAGCTGATCCCATGCGCTCGCATGATGTCTCGATTCGTTGCAATCTCTCAGAATCGTCTCCTCACTCGCAGCATCACTGCCCATATGGACAGTTGTCTGCAGAACGCTCTCACCAGGGCCCATGTATATCTTATTTCCAGGCTGACTCCCATCTCCACGGCTGCTTTTTGACTTCGAGTATTCCTTGAGGTGATACGAGTCCTTGTTTGACGAATCGCCGCGCGAGCCGTACTTGACGCGTACATATAAGGGACGGAGGACGGGGATACATGCGCAGACAATAGTCATGCAGACTTCTGAAGAGGACCAAAGAAGCATGCTGGCAGTGTCGTATACATAGTTCTCCATGGACGCAAGAGATTGCAGCTCAATGGTGCGAACAACAGAGCATGCACCAGCGAAGATGCCAAGTGAAAGACCGGATGCGATGGTAATCTTCTCCTTATGCTTCATGTTGAGGCCCAT